TCTATTATTCCTTTGGGTCAATCAAAGAGTTTTGAGATCTTCTTTCACAGAACACTAAACCAGCATTTAAACACCACCTTCTGACCATCTTTGTTTTCTGATAGGACCAAGGCAGAGGTGGGGGTGCAGCTCTGAGCCAATTAGCAAAGCAGTTAATATTTGTAGCTGCATATTGATACCCATAAATAAAAGTTAATAACTACTAATATGCTTCACTTATGGTCAGTCGTGAAATGTAACAAGGTATATTTACTTGATTACTGTACTTAAGTACTTTTTTTTACTATCTTTACTTGAGTATTTTTTGGGGTGAGGTACTTATAACTTTCACTCCACTATATTTCAAAGTCACATATTGTACTCTCTACACCATTACATTTCTAGGAAGCTACTTGTTACTTTTGGCTCTGCTTAACTTTTTAAATCCACTGTTGCTCTTTTTCTTTCTTTAAATGCAATTTCAAAATGGCAAATAACAGCCATTAGGACTGAACATGAACACCATTTTTTTTTTTAGAGATTTGCAATACATTCCACCAATGTGAAAAACTCAGGGCTGATATATGATGTATTAAGGTGTTAGTAAGTCGTGGCAAAGTTGTTCAGTAGGATGAGTTCTCATATAAGAATTGTAGTTTCTTTGTGGTATTAGGTTCAATCTTAAACCTTTATTTTATATTGAAAGTGTGAGGAGAATCAGGACTCTCCTTTTTTATTTTTTGGTTGGTTTTTAAATAAAAAATATTATCAAAATAGGTGCCCATATTTTTTTAAAGGCATTTTTATGCTAAAGTTCTTAACGGTAGGTGTAGACTCTGTAGAAGGTGGTTCTACCCATCAATACATCAGGTATTTTCTGAAAGTTACACAATTCTTTAAATTTACTATAAAAACTACACAGAAATGTACTGATATTACAAACTTAAATTGGTATTTTTGATTACTTAAGTACTTTTAAATGCATGTACTTTTGAATACTTAAGTATTTTAAAAAAGAGTACTTTGATACTTTAACTTGAGTAGATGTTTCTCTGAGTAACGTTTACTTGTAGTTGAGTAAGATTTGACTATAAGTATCAGTACTTTTACTCAAGTACTACTTTTCAGTACTTCGTCCACAACTGCTTATTGGTAATACTGTTCTGTTTCAGAGGTTAGTTAAAAACAGTAGTGAAAGAAAAGCACTACAGTATATTGTTTGCTATTGAAATGTTAGACATTTTTTTTATAACAAACATACTCAGAGCGTGACAATCTAACAGCCCTGTTCAGTCCATCTTTGGTGGCCATTTTACACTTTTCACTTACTTTCCAATTAGGTATTTCACATAACATTATGTTTTGTTGTAGGTGGGAATGTAAATAAATATGGTAATCATTCATGTTTTCCTAAAGCCAGTATTTCCACAAAGTTGGCTTTATATCTGAAAGCTCACACTCATGCAGGATTTTGCTAGCTCTGTAAAGGATTTATAAATCAGCAAACTCAGAACTGATTAGTAATAAAAACAAAATGCAGACCTGGGATTAATTTTTTATCCTTATATTTCTCCTCCAACGAAGCCACAAAGTGGAAAGCAATACTGCACGCTGTTAAGTTTTAAGGTAAATGCTGTGCTGGAGGGAGTTTGCAGTTGTTGTTTTATTCATTTAGTTTAATACTTTTTTCAACCCTGACAGACCTTCTAAAATAATTAAAGTGATATAGAGGAATGTTTCATAGTCAAGCATTGCATTTTACTTTGGGGTGTTTTTCACTCATTTTAGGTCTTAATTTTAAGCATATTTTTTGTTTTTAGCTTGTTAACTAGGTTTTTAACTTTTAGTTCTGTTAATATACTGACTGTGCCTTGTGCTCTTGAAGCAGAGTGTTTCATGCATCCAAGGTCAAGAAGCCTAATATTCTCCTGCAGAAAATAATCGATTTAGATCAGTTCTCTGTATAATTATAGATCACAGCTTTGTAAAAATTACCTTCAAGAGTTTAAAGCAATTTGAACTAGAGGCGATTAGAAGATTGCAACCCTTTCTAACATGGTACAGATAATGTTTTTGTTTTGGTTCTGTTTCCTTAGGAAATCAATAACCGTTCTGACTGTCAAGCTACAGTCTGTTGTTTTCATGATAGAATCAAGTTTAAATTGGATGTTTGAGTACATTTCTTCTAGCAGTCTATTATGTTTATTTATGTTTTTTTTTTTTTTTCAAAATAAGGAGAAAGTTAGAGATGAGGAAAAAAAAAAAAAAAAAAGAAAAGAAAACTGCAGAGTTTGACAACCAGAAAATATTTTTGTCTCTTTCCAAGTTTTCTCCCAAAGAGCTGAAAACTAAATGTCAAAGAAAACTGAGATTGATGCATCTCTCAGGTCCTGTGTCCTTTTTTCACTAAGGTTCTTTTTAAGAAATTACTTTCAGAAAATCATCTGCTGTAATCATCTGTTCCTCACTTTCAAGCACATGCTGTACAATACCAGTGTGAGGCACAAGGACTAGATTGGAAATAATTTTTGAAAGAACTTCAGATAAGCTTTAAAGGACCCAAATATTATAGTGGTTTAAATCATATTAACTGTATTATTGTGGTAGTCCAGGGCAACATATCTGTTTTTCTTTTTTTGTAAATGTTTTTGATGTGATTTTTTTAATCATCAAAAGGCTGTTCTGGATTTCATTGGAGGCATTTTGACTAAATATATACCTAAAAAAATTTTGTTTTTACGTTTACTAACCTGGGCCTCTATGTGAAATGTGACTGATGAACTAACTCACAGGTCACTATATTTATATAAAATATTAATATGAATACTTACTGCACGAACTGTACATTATTTTAGTTTTTGTACTTGAGTTTCTTTGTTTCTGAAGACTTTTTCCATTTACTTACAACAGTTGAACAAAGATATCCATACTCACGACCTCTTATTTTCTTCTAACCTCCTCTTATACCTATTGATGACATGAGTTAACAGCAGAAACAAAGCAGAACGAAAATCAAGAGTACCAATATAATCTGTCCAGTTGGAGCACAGTTTGTAGATCAACATTGATGGTGACATGGATGAAAACGGGCTGAAAAACACTGAAAGCAAAGGAGCAGAATCTGAGACTCAAGACTTTTTCCTTCTATTTCCACTTTATTAGTTTTAAAAAAAAAGTGCATATTGATTATGCTGCAAGTTCTTTTGCTATATTTTAATTATGTTTGTAACTTAATGCTGTCATCAATAACTAAACTCTAACAGTATTTATTATAAGCAGAACTTCAGTTTGGTCTAATTTATCCTGTCTGTACATTTAATTTTGAACTAAACTAGTCTGAGTCAGTACTTTTTTTTTAGTTTCTTTAGTTTCACAGTTGGCAAAAGAGGATGATTAATAATTTTCATGCCTGGAACTGTTGTTTGAGCATAGTTTTAAAGTCCTTTGTTTATAATTAAAGGGGTCATAGAATGATTATATAGGGTATTTGGTCCTTAAAGGTATACTATGCAACCGGTGTTGATTTTCCAGCGAGCGAAAGTAAAAGTGCACTGTCGTAAATATGCTCAGCTGTTTTCCTGGTTTCTCCGTCAAGCCAGGCGCGGTTGTTTTGAGCTTAGCAGACAGGCGAACGCAACGAATCACCATGTCTACTGCGGTAGAGAGCCCTTTTCCTCTTTCTTGCCTGCTCCGACATGGGCTTTCGCTGTTTTCTCGCTGGTTCCGCCATGATAACTGCACAATTATCACCACTGCGCTAGCAACGAGCATGCCTTTCACTGGGGGTGTGTAGCAGTTCTCGCCGTAAAGCAAGACCGACTCTCGCGATGCACGAGACTTCTGAGCCTGTGGGTGCGGGTTGAGGGCTCCTGCAATTGCAAGTACGGTATTTCCCCTACAGACCACCAGGGCGGCCAAGAAAACCTTTGTTCGACTTGAAATGACTCATTTAATCATCCAAAACGTTATGGAACACATTAATTAACTGAAAAATGTTGCATAGTATGCCTTTAAGGTCTCTGAATAGGATGTATAACATTGGTTGGGCTGAAAATGGCATATTTGCTGTCTATGAGCCCTAGCGTAAGCCTGGTTATAAGCCTCAGAATGAGACAACAGATTTTTTTTACCTTTTATAGTATGCTGTTGAATATTCAGATGAACTGTGCGCTGATTGGTTGGTTTACAACAAGCAAAGCTGCTGAGCAAAGACTCATCATAGCAACAATCACTCACTCTCTGAAATATTTATAATAGTGAACCAGTGGGCTGGTCTGTATGTCAATTTCAGGGCATGATAAAAGTACAGACCAGAACCAAATAAGGCAACATCCCCAAGTTGACATCAACTTGGTGCTTCATCTGAATTCGCCCTTTTTATGGTGGAAGTTTAAAATTGTGAGATTTTTACAGAGAAAGGATGTGTCGATGGGGTTTGAACTTCTCTGTACGTCCATTTTACCCACTGAATTATCGCTTTTCATATATGACAATGGAAACTCGGTTTTGGACTCTATGACCCCTTTAAGGAAAAAACTTATTTTTCCTTTTTAGTTTAATCCAATGTAGAACCTTAAAGATATAACGGAGGATGTTCTTTTTAATATGTGGTCCTCCTAATTGTCAGTCATTCTGGTAATATGTTTACGTAAGGCCATCCTACGTGCTCGTTCCCATTTTGCACTTACCAATGATGGGTCTGACATAGTGGAAAAATTGCCAATCTTATTTTGGAAGGTAAGCTGGTATGAGCGAAGCAAACAGCAACTTATAAACGTCGTGCACGAGGAGAAATGGGCTTGGGCACACTATCTCATACGTTTAATAGGCGTTCCCTCTCGGGAGCAGGTCCAGGGTTGTGTATATGCATTTTTTTTAAAGTGGAGAGGGCGGGTCTTTTCAGAAATTCACGGAAATCCTCCACTATAAGTTTAACTTTTAGTTGAGTTCCAGCCCCACTTACTGTTATCTGTATTCTTTTCTACAGTGATCTATATTTTACCTCAACACTAAAGTACTTT